CACTGAGCTAAATTCCCGTCCTCAAAATTTTAAATGCTTTGAAAATGTTGTACTTTTCAGGGACAGCATCAAAAAATATATTTTAAATAGGATTGCATCTCAAGTTGTCTATTTTAAAGAAAGATTGAGGGATTGAGCTCAGCAACACAAGCACCTGCCTGGCAAATGTGAGATTGTGAGTTTGAACAATGCTCCCCCCCCAAAAAAAAAATAAAAGGAAGAAAGAAAGAAGCCTTATGAAAGCAGCTTTAGAAACAACAAGTGTGTGAAAGCTGAAGGTGAACAGAAAGAGCGAACATAGCTGCTTCAAAGAATGTAAATGAATAGAGACTCCTGTTAGTATATTATTATGTAAATTATGACTTTAAATATGCCCATGTGACTAATGTATTACTAAATTATGTAAAGAGACATTTGACTGCTACATCTATATTGCTTTCATAATCAAGTTGGCCAAAACTCTTTTGGAAAGAGAGACGCGAGAATCTGTCCACGGAAAGTGAAAGACCATCTTTATGGGGTTTTCTTATGTTTGGGGTATCTTCTAGAGTGACAGAGCTGATGACTCTGCATATGATCAGGGGTGGTGGGTGATAAAAGGTTAGGAAAAGGAACAATGTGAAATTGCATCTTGAAGTTGTTGTCCTCTTTGGTTCCTTGCCAGGTGCTGCACTTGTGTTACTGGCAGAGCTTGGAGCACCCTTCAGTCTGGGCAGAGGGCTCCTCAGCACTTTTCTTGGGTTGATTCAAGGAGAGTAAAGAAGAGCCCTGCTATAGTTTGGATTTGAGTGTCCCTCCCTAAAAAGCTGGATCCCTAGCCCCATGGTGATGTGGAGAGGTGATGACTGGTCTGGCCGATGGAGGTCTTAGTGGTTTAGGGTATGCTCTTAAAAGAGACAGATCTCTCTCTCTCTCTCTCTCTCTCTCTCTCTCTCTCTCTCTCTCTCTCGCTCCCTCCGTCTCTCTTCCCACCATAAGGAAAGCAGTTTGCTCCACCCTGAGTATCCTACCATGAGATACTGCCCCACCATAGACCTTAAAGAAGTAAGGCTATCCATTCCTATACTAAAATCCCTGAAATTTCGATCCAAATTGTTTCCTCTCTTTGTTACAATAATGGAAAGTGGTCTAACACAAGCCTTCAAAGAATTTACCACCTAAAACTCAACAGGCAATATACTGACCTTCAGGACTCACAGGGCAGCTAGCTGTGACTGAACACATACTGAGAGCTTGCTGGGTCATTTGTAAAGTGTTTTCCCTGTCATGATCACAACGCTTCATTATTCTCATTTCACAGATGAGTAAACTAAGTAACACACAGAGTAACTGGAAAATGTCCCACAGCGGTCAACAGCAGGGCTAATATTTCTACCTGGGTAGTCTTACTCCAAAGCTTGCCCTTTTGTGCATGCTACAGCATTTCACCTCTTTAAATAATCAACTCTACGAGGGAGCCTAAGCCTTTACATGGATCCTTTCTACTATCCACAGCATCTCTTCCCCAAATTCAAAGCAAAATTAAATTCAGGATAAAGCAAATTAAAGATGTATAACAAGCTTGGATTTAGAATTCACCAATCTTAAAGAACAATTGCATTACTAGTGTCTCTTAGATCATTGAAAAAGGAACGATTATGCTAATATTAGTTGGAGAAATTTTTATGCCCATATCTTGTACCCTGAGCAACTGCCTTAAAGATAGCAACGTGAATGGATTCACTATTGTTATTATTTTGTTATGAAATTTTGTTTTACTTTTTTTCCATAAAACAGGAAAAAGGAACAATTGTGTTAAAATGCACTTGATAACTGAACCCAACAACATCATTTTAGTCACTGTTTTTTCTGCATACATTTAGGTATCTGATACCAACTGTACTCCTATGTTGCTGAAATTGTGCCTTTGCCGGGAAAATCGGCTCATCTTTCTTGACTCCTGTCTCTCCTCAGTGCTCACTCCGCCTCCTTATCCTGCATTTTCCTCTCTCTTCTTTGTAGGTGTTGAGCTTTCTTTCCCTTCTGCATCTCAAGTAATTCCATCTGTGGTCAAGGCTTTTCTTTCCACCTATGGATTCTCAAATTTGTATCTCATATTTCTCTTTTAAATTTCAAAAGTCAAAGTTCTAGCTCTTCCCTGGGATTTCAGGATGACTCCAAATGCATCTCCAGTTCAGTAGGTCCCCACAGGAACTCCCTCCCTCCTCTCCACTCGCTGCCCAACCTCTCTCTCAAATCTGAGCCTTCTTTTATAGTCTTTCTTTCCTTCAACAACTTCACTAACCAATCACTTGTTGCCTTGGCTCTATCTTGGACTCTTATTGGACGGTTCTTTTTTCAGACCATTTCTCCTTACTTGTGAGCCTAATACACACCAATTGGATTGTCCAATCATTTAGATTTTACCTTTGAAGGATATAGTGTTTGTGTGATCTATTTCTGTTTCTGTTTTGTTTTGTTTTTCCACAAATAAAGCCTCTTGCACTATAGGCAAATACTCTACCACCAAGCTGCATCCCCAACCTATAATGCCTCTTCTAGGCTGTTTTCACCGTGCTGATGAAAACCTTCATCACCCCTCACTTGGATCACTGCATTGGACATTTATTTGGCTCTTCCAGCTCCTCTGGGCCTGTTAGTGAGCTTCCTGAAACCTAGACCCAGTCACGTCTATCTCTGCTTACAAAACTTCCACAGCCCTTCTCTACCTACAAGGCACATTCTATTTGTACAGACTGACACACACAGTCCTTCACAACCGAATTCTCAGCTATACTTGTAGTTCACACTTTTATCTGCTTCTCACGTCGTCTCCAGCCATTCCTCCCCATATGACCCAGACACTGGAGCTACCTGCTGCAACCTTTCCTACTGAGCTCTGAGCTCATGAAAAAGAACATCTTGTGTTACTGATTCTGGGCATCTGAGTTCATGATACCTGTGCTCCTGACTCTAGACTTCTTAAAGAAATGTGGTTGTGGATGTTTAAGGCAGCACATGATAATTCTTCATCTTTTCAACAACTCTACAGAGTTACATAGTGCTATCACTATAGTTTAACAAGTGAAGAAGCAGACCCCAAGCATCTTCACTTGAGGAGCCTGACAGATTCCTAAAAAAAAAAAAAACTAGTGAATGAATTAACCAAATTTCAAGCGAGGTCAGGCTGACTGTAAAACCTATGCCTTAGCTGAGACCAACCCTTGCTGATTACTTCTATTACTGTAATTTCATTTGTAGGGAACAACCAGGAAGCGATACCTCTCTGCTTCAGGCTCTTGTGTGTGCAGCCATACCATGCCTAGGTGTAGGTCACTTTGGAACAGGGCCAGTACCATACCTTAGAATTCCAGCACATCCCAGCATCCTGTGAGTGGAAAGTCCGATATGTGGGTTCTACCCTAACCCGAGCGTGTGACATTCTCAATGAGCATCCAAATGAAGCTTTTTAAAGAGAAAGGATAATATCTTAAGCAGTCTATCTCCAAGGAAAGGGAACGTCTGAAACGATCCTGGACACTGGCTCTGATGTGCCCAAATGTGCATCCTTGAGAGGGGAGAGTATTCACTCTAGGCTCTTGAGTCTGAGTTTATTAAATTACTGATGACACGTGACATATTTATTTTTGTTACCTAAAGCTAACACATATATGTATTCTCAACTGTGGCCAAGGGGAAAATGAATTCAGTAATCACCTATCATGCAAAAATATGTACCTTGTTCCCGTGTTAATTTGATAGTCTGGTTTAAAAACTCCAGCCTAAGAGCCCCTAGATCAAAGGCCAGCCCTGTCTCTGCCGGTAGCTGCCTGCGTGGCCTGGAGCAAATGTACTTCCAACTACTCACTTTTTATTTCTAGGGATTCCAATTAGCTGATCCATGAGCAGTCTCTTTTAATTCTAATATTCACAGGGTATTCTTAGTTTTAGAATGTTTTCACCAATTGCACTTTTATCTTAACCCTAAGGAAAACTATCCTACATGTCCACTTTCATATATTTAATAAAATATATAATTTTAAATTATAGCTACTTAAACCCTACATGTTTTGCTATACTTTATGAAGTGGCTATTATAATCAAAAAAGATTAATACACTCATCACTTCACATAGTTATCTCTTTTTTGTGACAGTCATACACGGTTTCTGAAATGTAGTCAGGGACAATGGGGTAGAAGCAAATTCCAAGACTGTTTTACAATGCAAGAACTATAATCAATACACTTTGAAAACTGCTCATGGCCTTGAATCTGATGAAATGCCTCAAATGCGCAAAGCAGTGTAAACATAATTATACAGGAAAACATGGTAGGTAGACGTTAGGAGACATGGAAAGCCCCGTTATGCGTTGTCTAAGCTGACATACACATACAGCAAACAGTTGCTAGGTCCTCAGACAGTTTTGTTTACATGAAAGTAATTTCTCACCACATGACAGCCACTGGGTGTCTGCGATAAGATCAAAAGACATATCCATAGGTGCTACAAATGCCTCTGGAGTGACTACTACCTGCAAACACTATGAAAAGTACATGATGCAAAAGTTAAGAGCAGTGCCAATGCTCTTAAAGCTCATTTTCCATCACAAAAATGAACCATGAGTTACAGAAGAACTACCAAAGAATTCCTTTTCAATCTTTGTGGGGCTGCCAGTCGTGAAATACTTCCCATCAAAATCCTACTAGTAAAAACACACACTTTGAAAACAGTTTATATACCAGCGTATTACAGCTTAAACAGGTCCCCTTGGGAAAAAACAAAACCAACAACAACAAAATTAAAGAAACAAAACAAAACCAAAAATATCCTTCCTTTGGCGCACTTCACATTTTTAAAAATGGGGCAGCTTTACCTAACATTCGTGTCATCTAAACCACCCGGGAAAGCCCCAGATGGGGAGGAGAAAGGGTCTCCCACAGTGACCCCGGCAGTGCGCTCAGCCACCCCACTGGGGCTGCGGGGAGGGCGGTCCGCGGCCCGGGACGCGCGGCCGACTCACCTTCGCGCCGGGAGGTGGCCGCGGCCGCAGGCAGGAGCAGCGAGGCGCAGAGGCAGCTCAGCCAGAGCGCGGGCATGGCCGGCCGTGCGGGGCGGCTGCCGGGCTCCGGGGCAGCGGCGGCGGGGAGTCCTCTGCGCCGGGGTGCCGTCCTCCTCCGGGATCAGGTGGTTTTATCGTCTCTGCTACCTGACTCAGGCCTGACAGGAAGAGAGCTGTGTTTCAGGGCGTGACTCACCTGTGAACAAGAGGACCCAGCCCTCCAGGCAGGCGGACACACACACACACACACACACACACACACACACGCACGCACACACACAGCCAGCGAGCTGCAAGAGCGCGCACCCCAGCCCGGCTCCCCGCTGCGCCGCCGCACAGAGGGCGCACACCTGGCCGGGCCCAGGGTGTGGCCCAGGGATCCCACTCCTGGAATGTGCCAGAGCCGTCCTTTTCTACCTGGGCTGGTCTAAGGCAGAAATCGTGAGCAGCCACCCTCTTCCTCAAACTGGGAGGCCTAGTCTCAGGGCGCAGGCTGAGGACTCCCCTGGGTTCTGGTGTAAAAGGCATCAGGGGAGACTGGTCAGCCTGGGGTCCCAACAGCTTCCTCTTCACCTTCCCAGTTGCGGCCACCCAACCTCTGAACACGGGAGCCCTCCCCCAGCTCACCATCGCCAGGCTGGACCAAGTGTCCTGGGTTTCCCTAACTGTGTATCACCTGGCTAGTGGCTCCTGAAGTCATTGGCCAGACCAGCTCCCTGATGAAGACTAGATCACACATTGCTAACAATGAGTACAGCATCTAGCACTTTCTGTGCTTAGTGAATGTTCTGTTCAATTGTGTACAAAAAAGAAGATCCAGGTTCTGTATTCCTTTGGCATCCTAGAGCGTATTTTCTAATTGCCACTTACTACGGTTTCACTGAAAAATGTTTCTTGAGACTAGCTGTGTCGTCCAAGTTCCCTGTGCTAGTGATATCTAGAAAACTGCAAATCTTGGTAGGTTCTACTTTGTCTCTCCTCACAAGGAGGCTGGTTGCAATAATTCAGAGAGGTAGCTATCAAAGAGAGTACTTTGGAACCTACTACAGCAGCCCAATCCCTATAATCCACTATACTGTGAGGTTGAGGCAGAAGGATCACAAATTCAAGTCCTACTTGGGTAACTTACTGACTTCAAGCAAGAGCCTGCCTCAAAATAAAAAAGGGCTGGGGATATAGCTCAGTGTGAAGGCCCTGGACTTAGTCTCTAGTACTGCAAAAAAAAAGGGGGAGGGTGTTTCCTGTGAAGATACAAATATTACTAGAATTTATGTGTACCAAATCTATCCAATGCAACTAACTATTCCTCTTTCCCATCAACAAGGCCTATAAATCTTCCAGTAAATGCCTATTCAATGAATCAGTGATAACTGTTCTATGGATAACAGCTAACAAACAATGTGCTACATGTAGGCTGAGCTGATGGCTTGTACAGAACGTGGAGCATGACCTAAATGCTGGGTCATAACCAAGATCTGAATACAGCAGAGGCAGGCAGGATCCTGCAAACTGGCCCTTACCTGCTCTACAATCTGAAGCACAAAAATAATTAGTAGAAGAATTCCAGTGTTCTCCTGGTCCCGATTATCTTCTACTCACTCCAGTATTCAAACAAATAAACTAAAGATTCTTCTCTCTCAAAACTCAGTGTTCGGTGATTGCTAACATTTTAGTTCCTAGAAATGAAATATATCTAGAGTTTTGCTTTTCAGTAGCTGGTGTAGTAAGTTGGAGACAGAGTGCTGTGCTCAATGCATAGCTACCCATCCTTGGTGTGCGATGCCTGGGAGTCCTGCAGAAGCAAGGAACAGGGACCTGCAAAATAAAGCCTTGAAGGTGCATTTTATTTAGCACAGATTGCTATAGTGGATCATACTTAAAACTTGGAACAGAAATTTTTGTCCACAACATTTTGGGGCAGTGATAATACTATACATATTTACTTTCTATTGATCGTCAGTCACCATTGCAAATTCTTTATCAACGCTTTAGTCTTCAAAAGAACCCTACAAATCAGGTTATTGTTAGTTTCCCCACCTCACAGATAAGAAAACACAGACATGCAAAGGTCAAGCAGTATGCTGAAAGTGGCAAAGCCAAGACTCAACCCACCCTGGTTTCATAGTTCTAAAACTCGTTAGTTGATTGAAAAGCATCATAAAGACAAATTCATGACAGGGAATGAATTGAACATACAATCAAAGGTTGTTTATCAACCACCATTACAACCTGGCCAGACCATAGACTTGGCACACATGCACAAAGCCGAGTCACAGAGCACTCTGACAAACACTACTGATTTTCCCAGGTTATTTGCCATGGAGGACCCTTTGAGGGCACCAGAATCAGGGGCAGAAATGGGAAGCAGGCCCCTGGGGTCTATGCCAGCCATCAGCCTCTTGTATTTGTAGAGTACAGAATTTTAAACCTTTCTGTAAAATGTAAATACTTTTAGGCCCATGAACAGGCCCTGTGCAGGTCCCTTCCTCTTTGTCTTCTTCTGAGTTTCTTCAGACATCCAAACAACCTGCCTGCTCTGGTTTTGTCCCCAACTTTGTTCAGGGTCATTGTCAACTTCCTCCACTAACTAGTGCATTGCTGGGGCCTAGAGTATGCTCGTGGTCAAAAGTCAAGGCTCTGCAGAGATTCCCAGGGTCAGATTCTGGCTTCCCTACTGTCAAGGCGCTTAGTTTTCTCTGCGCCTCAGTTTCTTAATCTATAAAATGTAGATAATAATAAAATGCTGACCTACCAGTTGTAGGGATTTTTTGAAAATAGATGAATTAATGATTTATCTAGCCCTCAGAATATCAGGCACGTTCTTGCACTATACAAATGTAGCTATAATAGTAATTTAAATTATTGTTAACTATTAATTGTATTGTTACTATTGTTATGTTTATTGCCATAAGCAAAGTACCAGTTTTTCCTTGCTATAATTACTAGCAGATGAGAAAGATGAGAATTTTAGTTCAGTTCTTCGACTAACTGATTATTTAATTAGAATTTTAAAATTCTGTGGAATTCTTGGCCTAATCTGGTTCCTGCCAGATTCCCAACATTTACTTTGAAGTTGTTAATTAAATTGTGATTTTGCTATAAAATGAGATATTTCCTTCATACACACAGTCTTTGCCAAATGTTCTAAATATTTTGCATTATTTAATAAGGCAGATTGAGATCTTATTTTTCAGGTAAAATGTAAATGTAACATGGCTTTAAAATAATTCCTATGATTAGCATATGATTTTCAAAAAAAATCAACCAAAATCTGCTTGCTTTTCTATATGATACAAATATATCTTTTTTCAAATCTAGATAAAAGTCAACTTGATACTATTCTGCAATAAAAAAGATCAAACTATTTGGAATACCAAAGGAATCTCAAAGCACTATGCTACGTTAAAGAAGCCAAACAGAAAAGATCAAATTGTATGTGATCCCATCCATATGAAATTCTAGAAAAGATACAACTACAAAGTGAGAAAGCAGATAAGTGGTTTTCAAGAGTGGAAACTTACAGCAATGGGGCATAGGATATTTTTTGGATTGAAATATTCTGAAATGTGATTATGGTTAAAAGTAAGCCAGTTGGGCCAGGGATTTAGCTCAGTAGTGTAAGTGCCTGCCTGGCAAGCACAAGGTTGTGAGTTTGATCCCTGGTACCAAAAAAAAAAAAAAAAAAAAAAAAGTAAGCCAATTATATACTTAAGATTTTTAAATTTACTTGTGCATCAATTATCAATTACACTGTAGTAAGTTGGTATTACAACAGACAGACTCTCAAAGAATCTATTTGATAATTAAAATGAGATTTCAAATGTGCAAGGCAAAGCCGCCACACAAAACACATCAGTGTTTGCATAAATTGTGACAAAGCCATAGCTTGGCTTCCAGTCCTGACAGCTGTGCTCATCCTGATTAGCTCTAAATTGCCATCTAAGGTGTTTAGGCTGAAACACACTTCCCTCCGCCCCAGCCCTATAGAAGGACCCTTCCCTAGAAACTTGTCTCTTTTGTCAATTTACAAAAGGTAACAGATGCCTTTCTGACATGATTGCTGAGAAAGCACCATTTCAAACCTATCTTAAAGTCTGGTTCTAGGAAGTCAGCCCTTTGACTTCTGTCTCATCCTCTTCAAAAGCACCACGTTCTTGCAGATTGTAACTCCTGGTGTCAGCAGGGTTAATGCCTTTCAGAGATGCTCCAGCCACAGCTTTGGGAAGGTACCCAGACATTCTCACAGGATGTGGCAGGCAAGGCCGTGGCCCTGGAAGTCCCCTTTGTCCACTGTTGGATTTACAGTTCAGACTCACCCACGAGACTTTTTTTTTTACAGTGCTGCATAAATCAGTTCACGGAAGTATCACCTCTCCCCTGCAAAGCCCCAAATTGCCATTTGGCATTACGAGTGACATGTTGATTTTTGCTTTGAGTTCCATCATTACCCTAGTCAACTTTCAGAAGGAATGTCTGGCATGTCACCCACTTTCAAACTCGCTTATGATAAAAACTGAAGCACTGGCTGTTAATGTGCCAGCAAGAGACAGAGCTGCTGTCCCTGCCCTTTGAAACATCTTCCCAGAGAGTTCTCTTTATGTCAGCATTTGCATTAAAATTTTAAATGTAAAATACAGCACTCAGAGAAAAAAATTATTTTAACTTTGCTTCATTCTTAATAGGCAAAGGAAAATGTCCATAAATGGAAATGGTTCAGTGTTTCCTGGATCAGCAGCATAAATTCTCCAAGGTTGGCCAGACTCCAGAAAACCATGCTCTCTGAAGCAAAGCCCTGGCTGAAGTGGCAAGCTTCCATTTCAAGCAGAAATGTATGGAGTGTGCCCACAGTGGGTTTTCAGAGAGCTGCAGTGGCCTGGTCAGAACTAAAGTAATTAATGCCTTTTACTCATTAAGAAGACCTGATCCTTGTCTTGTTGTTGGCTAGTGATACATCCGGATGGGAATGTGTGGGGAATCGGTGCACAAAGAACAATCTCATTCACAGCTTTTTTGATGTAGCTGTTACAGACAGAAATGTTCAAATTCATTGTTTGTTTTACAATATAACAAATGAGGAGGAACAAGAAGAGGGACACATATTTAGAAAAAGACAAAGCAGGCAAAGAAAACACAACAAGAGGGCAGATGTATTCTTAGATGGGTTTAGTAGATTTCTGGGTGTTTCCGTTGTTGTTCCCTTAGGCTGAAATGTGGTCATCAGCTTGACTGTGAAATGTGGTTAGCAGGTAAAATACTGCCCCTGGTTCCTAACCACCCTTGCATGCAGACCGCAGCTCCTCAGGTGTGAATGAGAGGGAGCAGCAAAGGAGCCCCAAACTGTCAACATTCTTCTCTCATTGCAGTGGTGGGGACCAGCGTGTACCCCAGCAGACTTGACAAAAGCTGGAAGCAAGAGGTGGCCGGCCTTAGATCAGAGAGCCCACCCTGGCCTTTGGAAGGAAGAAATGAGAACAGGAAACAGGATTTCTAAATGAGCTTCTAAATTTAAATCTGAAACATTGCCATCTTTCATAATTTTAATTATCAAATCTTAAAAGCTCTGTAGCACTTAGTGTCCAATTCTGTCTTAAACAAGAAGCTCTGGGTGCATTTAAATATTTAATAATTTAGACAATTATAATAAAGACAGCCAAGCTGTACTAAATATCCTGCTTGTGTCAGGAGCCTTTGCAGCGGTCTGGAGTTCATTCCCAATCACTCACTCTTCTGTGAATAGGGTGCTATTATTATACACAGGCTCTTTCACAAACCCATGCCAATACCTTATTCATGTTATTATCCGTCTACAACATAAAAACAAACTCAGGCTCTTACTGGACTTACATCCTCTTCCAATTTAAAAAATTCAGTTAGCATTCAAACAAAATACAAGATGACGAGTCATTATTATAGTCACTATGTTCTACAGTGACCTCCTCCTATAGATCAGCAATACACAAGTTTGGCTCTCAGGAAAACATTTTCCTTCCCACATTACCTGTGGTCATTCTTCAGTGTAAGACTTCAGGTTGTTATGCAACATCCTTTTACTTCAACCAATCAGGTCCTGCGTGGTTTTCTTTTGACTTCGCATCTTAATCCAGGTATAAGAGTACTTTATTAAGTAACTCAGTTAAATACCTTAGAATAATTGGAAGATATTTTCAGACAGTTGAAAGACCTAAAGCAATCTGAAAAAGCTCAAGAATTTAGTAACTATATCCTCGGATTCGGATTTTGCACAGCTTGGTTGCCCAGAAATCCCCAAACATTCCGGGTGGTTCTTTTGCAGGAAGTCTCCAATTGGATGTGATTTTGTTTAAAAGGTGGAACTGCTCAATGGCACTGCCATTATGGAAAGATCCACGATCACAGAAAAAGAATCACTATCCCAAAATTTTCTCCCAGCCTCAATTTGTCTATCTAGATTAATTCATAGAAGAATTAAGCCAGAGTTTAAACAATTTAAACCAACAGGTCCAGTACCCAACTATTTTAAATGAGTGTATTTTAGGTTTCAATTATTTGGACAATTTTTCTGTTTTTTGGACAATTTTTCTTGCTTTTTTGTATATACAGCAAAACAAAGTTTTTCATTGCTTTATCAAATCTGTTGACGCCTTTTAATAGAGTCTCTATAAACACAACTCTTGGAAGTAACTTAAACTCAGTTAAAGCAGGATACAACCACTTGATTTTGCAATAGAATTGTTTGCACAGAATTGCATACATATGTCTCAGACAAATTTAAAATGTATTCCACCTCTAGTAAAGATGCTACATCCTTGGGGCTGGGGATTTAGCTCAGTGGCATAAGTGTCTGCCTTGCAAGCAGGCAGTTGTGAGTTCGATCCCTGGTACTGATAAAAAGGAAAAAGACAAAAAAAAAAAAAAAAAAAAAAAGATGCTACATCTATGTAAGGATATCTAGCACCTGAACTTTAGGTAGATCAAACTTTTCAATAAGGTTTTGGGGCTTTTGTTTGGTTGGTTTGGTAGATTTTAATCTTGCATTCAATATTTTTCTAAAGATAATTCTGGAAGAAATTGTCCTAAAATTATCTGCATTGTAGTCTTTTCTGATGGAATTTTCTGAACAATTTTTATTAATTTTATGAATAAAATTGTTTTAATAAAAATTAATGAGCACCATTTCAGGGAGCCTTTTCAGGTCCAATCAACCAGTGTTGACTTTTCTTCAGCGCTACAGACAGAGCTGCAAGAGTGACAAAGGTATAAAATGCCATCATCTCCTTATTAGTGGAGGAGCACCAGTGGATGCTTGGCGGGGGGTGGCTCCTGTGACACCAGCCTTATGTGTTTAGGCAAGCAGTCTTAAACGTCCTGACATTTTTAGTTAACATACTACGGAACTGTCATCTTTACATTTAACCAACTCTGAAATATCTATATGTTCTGGAAGTTTTTTATCCACTGTATAAAATCAACTTTCTTATATTAAAAGATGTACTAATATTCACCAGCGTTAGTACCTATGATTTATGAATCCTTTTTCCTAGACGCTTATTACCTTGTAAACTACATTATGACATTCTTTTGCCTTTCTGGCTGAAAAACTTCATCATCAGACCTTTCTAGGAGCCTGTTCTGGCGATGATTTTGGTGTCCCTAGTAGCAGTTTCCAAGCTTTCCCACCTATGTGTTGACAAAGACCAGATGGTAAAACCTCCTTACAGAGGATGCTCTGCAGCGTGCACGCGGCAGGATAATGCTTTCTGGAGAGCTTCATGGAGGTCATCTTGGAGGGTTATGCTCAGCACCTGGGCGTCTGGTGGAGGAAAATTCAGGTGGTGGGATTGGTAGAGTGCAAAACTCCAGTAAGTCAGTTTCTAGAACTAAATGGTCATACCAGAACTTACAGAATAAAATGAAAGCAGTTCTAGGAGGGAAGTTTATAGTTGTGAATACTCATATCACAAAAACAAAGTGAGCCTAAACAACCTAACAGAGCTTCCCTTGCTGAGATGTACACCCTAACACAGGCCTGTGCACATCTAAAGGAATTTCCACCAGTAATGCAGAAGGGTTCTTTTCTCACTGAAACCTCACCAGTGTTTGTTATTATTTGCCTTTTTTTTTTTTTTTTATCGGTACCGGGGATCAAACTCACAATTGCGTGCTTGCAAGGCAGGCGCTTATGCCACTGAGCTAAATCTCCAGCCTATTATTTGATTTCTTCTTGACTGCCATTCTTTCATAGTGTTGTTTTAATCATAGTGTTGTTTCAATTTGTAATTGAACATTTTTCATGTATTTATTGGCCATTTTTACTGTTTCTGTGAAGTGTCTATTCATTTTGCTTTCTTTCTTTCTTTCTTTCTTTTTTTTTTTTTTCCTTTCTGAGACAGGACCAGAGGTAACCCAGGTAATCTTAAACTTGCAGCAATCCTGCCTCAGCCTCCCAAATGCTGGGATTACAGGTGTGCACCACCAAGCTTGGCTTGCTTTCCAATTTTTGATAGGGTCTTTTATTGGGGGGGGACTTTTTAGTCCTTTATACATTCTAGAAATGAGTCCTCTTCCTGATACATCAGTGGCAAGTGTTTTTCCGTTCTGTTGGTAGTCTTCTCACTCCACTGGTTGTTTCTTTTGCTCTGCAGAAGTTTTTAATTTGATATGACTTCATTTGTTGATTATTGGAACTATTTTCTGTGCAACTGAAGATCTGTTCAAAAAGTCCTTGTTTATGCTTACGATTTCCAGAATTCTATTTACTTTGTCTTTCAGGAGGTTAAGCGTTTGTAGTTTAACATTCAGATTGTTGGTCCATTTTGATTCTAGTTTAGTACATGGTGAGATATACGATGGCAGAGTCAGTCTTCTGAATGTAGATAAGCAAATTCCCGGCACCATTTATTACTATCTTTCCTCCAGTGTCTGCTGGGTGTTCAGGAATACTATGTTTTTGTGTGTTAATTTTATATTTTGCTATATTATTAAATTTAACTCTAAATATTTTTTGTGGGTTTTTTGAGATCTTCTATGTAGAAGATTATGTTACATGCAAATAATGATAAGCTGACTTCTTCCTCTCCTACACAAATGCATTTTATTACTTTTTATTGCCTAATTACCCTTGCTCATGATTCAAGTACTACGTTCAACAGGACTGATCATAGTGGACATCCTTGTCTTGTTCATGGTTATAGAGAGAAAGCTTTCCTCATTTAGTAGGATGTTGGCTGCAGGTTTGTCATACATTTTTTTTTTTTAGTAAAATAAGGGCCTTCTATACCAAATTTTTCAGCATTTTCATAATGAAATAATGTTGGATTTTGTCAAAAGCTTCTTTCTGTGTCTATTGAGACAATCATGTGATTTTGGTCCTTGCTTATATTTATATGGTGTATTGCATTTATTGATTTGCATATGTTGAACTATCCTTGCCTTCCTGGGATGAAGCCTAGTTGGTCATGATGTCTGGTCTTTTTGATGATTCATTGCACTGTTTGCCAGTATCATGTTGAGGATTTTTGCATCTATATTCATTAAAGAAGTTGTTTTAGAATTCTTGTCTGGTTTTAGAATCAGAGTAATGGTAGCTTCCAGGAATGACTTTGGGAGTACTCCTTCCTTTCAATTTAATTTTTAAAAAATCTGAAGAATATTGGTGTTAGAACTTTCTTAAAAGGAAGAATTGAGCAGTGAACTCATCCAGACTTGGGCTTTACTTAGTTGGTAGGTCATTTATCACTGCTTCAATTTCATTGCCTGTTATTGGATTTGTTAGGGGTTTTCAGTGTTTTTGGCTCAATTTTGTAATTCATATGTATCTAGGAATCTGTTTCTTCTGAGTTCTCCAATTTATTGGTGTGCAGGTTTGCAAAGTAGTTGTTAATGTTTTTGTTTTTGTTTTTGGTTTTTTTTTTTTTTTTTTGGCAATGTCCATTGTGATGCTACCTTTTCCATACCTAATTGCCTTGATTTGGGTCTTTTCTCTCTTTCTCACTCTCTTTTTTTTGAGACAGGGTCTCATTCTGTAGGCCAGCCTGATTTTGAACTCGTAGCAGTACTCTTGCTTCAGCCCCCTGGGTGCTGAGATTACAAGGTTGTGCTATCACACCTAGCTTTCTGATCTTTATAATTTCATGTATTAGCTGGAGGTTTGGATCATTCTTAGTTTTCTAGGTCCTTGAATTGCAATGTTAGGTTGTTTAGGCTCACTTTGTTTTTGTGATATGAGTATTCACAACTATAAACTTCCCTCCTAGAACTGCTTTCATTTTATTCTGTAAGTTCTGGTATGACCATTTAGTTCTAGAAACTGACTTACTGCTTTCTTGATTTCTTCTGCAACCCATTGTTTAGTTAAGAATGCATTATTTAATTTCCATGCATTTGCATATCTTTTGTATTTTATTTTCTTTGATTTCTAATTTCATTGTGCTATGGTCTGATAATATGCAGGACTTAATTTCATGGTATAGTTCCATGTTTAACTAAAAAGATGTGTATTCTGTTAATGGGTAGAACACTGCAGATATCTATCAACTCCATTTGTTCAAAGGGTTTGTTCAACTCTTTCTTTCTTGATATTATTTTGTCTAACTCATTTATTTGTGATAGTGGAGTACTGTGCTTCCCTACTATAATTTTGTTTATATTTATTGATATTTTTGTCCAGTAGTATTTGTTTCATGAAGTTGGGTGTACCATTATTTGGTGCATATATGTTAATAATTGTTACCTCATACTGCTGGATTGTTCCCTTAACCAGTGCATAATAACCTTTTCCTCTTTTGATCAGTGTTAGCTTGAAGTCTACTTTATCTGATTAGAATATACTTACACTTGCTTTTCTTCAGGTTCCTGTTGTATGGAATATTTTTTTCCATCTTTTGGTTTCTAGTCTATGAGTTTCTTTTGGGGATAAATTTGTTCCTTGTATACAGCATACTGTAGGATTTTGTTTCTTGATTCAGTCTGCCAGTCTGTATCTTTCTATTGGAGAATTAGGACCATTCACATTGAGTTATTACTGGTAGGTGTTGA